CTTCTATCTACAAGGTGGTCTATTTTTTTAGATCTGGAATTACTTCAATGAACAGATTCTCAAATGCATGCTTTCCTGAACACTTCAATTTTGACCTTTTAAAGTCAAGGGTCAATCATTATCTATCCTCCTTATCCTGATAATTTTCACTTCTTCCTTCCACCTCTTACATTCATATCATGCTCCTCATTTAGTAACCTTCTACATTGAGTGGTTCTTGAGCCTGGTATTGGGTAAACCACTTTAATAAAAAAAGAAAAAATATAGTATGGTTATCTAGGCCTCATGAAGCAAAGGGATGTGAGAGCTTTTCCCTTTTTTTTTTTTTTTTGCAATCAGTGTTGTCGTTAACATTATACACTTCACTGTGGAGTATAGAACCACAGCCTCACCATGCTAGGTGTTGTTGTTGTGGTTTCCATAGCAACTAGATTTTTTTTGTAGAGTGATGTTGCTAGCCCCATTTCTATACAATTCAGAGTTGTCCTTCATCAAGTCTGTGAACTAATGGTAGAGAGCTCAGTCTGAATGAAGATGGATTAATAAATCCTATCGATTATATATGTAATCTTTTTTTTTTTAAATTACTTCACCCCAGGAAAGACTAAGACGCAAGGGGCTACTGGAAAGGAAAGAGAAGGAAAAGATTATAGGAGTTAAATAAAAACCCAATAATAGTATAAATTTCAGACTTTAGGTGGAGATGTTAGAATTATAGAGGAAATAGAATTTAAAAGGAACTGGAAACCCAGTCCTAAACAGGAAATAAAAGACAGACCTCTACTCCTGTTCAAAGAACTCGGGAGGAATGTGAGCCAGAATATATTAGAGGGAATGAACATTTTGATGGATTTCTTTAATAAATCCTATCTGTTAGATATGTACTAAAAATTTGTGTGCATAATCATACTTTTTTTCAGATTTTTTCAGCTGAAAAGTTTGGGGTGAATTTTAGACATGACAGATAAATGATAGCAATGTTTAGAGGTTCTTTTATATGCTGGTCACATCTGAGTAATGTCCGTCTTTGTTTTATGCAACTATAGAGAAATAGCCATGAGCCACTGAAATGTGTGTTTGTAATATTATTTTTTTCTCATATTAACTTATTTTTGCTGCAAGCTTCTTGTATTAGCATATCTGTACATTTGCTGTAAATCATGTGTAAATTTTGTGCTTCAAAACATTATGAACAATATAAATTTGTTTTGGTCAATAAGAATCAGATAAAAAAATTGAACAAATGTTAAATTTAGGTTAAAATCAAATTCTATGAATTCTATAAAGTCAGCACATATTATATACAGGAAATTATTTTTTAAGAATTTTGTAGTCCAAAGTTAGGTGGGGCATATTATACAATACTATTTATAATAAAGTAATTAGGAACTATTTTTTTTATAATTTTAGTATTTAAATATGTCACTATATATTTAATCATTAGGTGCCTTGGCATGGTTTAATGGTTAGCAAGCTTGTCTTGTTAGAGCAATTACAACTGAGTAGTGAGTTTGATCCTTACTGGGTGCCCCATACTTTCAGCCTTGTGCCACATCTAAGCTATGCTTAGAATATCATTGGGTACATCGAGGTGGTGTAATGGTTAGCAAGCTTGTCTCGCTAGAACAGTTATGACTGTGTAGTGAGTTCGATCATCACTGGGTGCCTCCTACTTTTAGCTTTGTGCCACATCTAAGCTATGTAATCATGAGAGCGAAGGAAAGTTTTGATGCATTTGCTTAATAAATCCTACCTGTTATTATATATATATATATATATATATATATATATATATATATATATATATATATATGTTACATTAGAACATGTAATTACTTACATGTTCTAATGTAACAGTCTAAAAAAATAAATATTTAGTGCTCTACTCTTGTATTGAGCCCTGTTTTAAATTAATGTTTTGAACATTGTAATTTTATTCTTTGTTCTTTTACATTTGGAGATATATATATACATATATATATATATATTTGTGTATTTAGGCAGCAGTCCTATTTCTTATTTAACAGTTAAAATATTTAATCCTTGAAAATGGCTAAATGTATAGCCAAAAGCAGTCGGATAAAAAGAACATTCGAACAGTTAATTTATCATCCGAAAAGGAAAAAAATTATTAGATCGCATGAGAAATTATATAAAAAAATAAATAAAAGCAGCTTGTCTGTCATATTCAATGAAATGTGCATATATATATATATATATATATATATATATATATATATATATATATATATATATATATATGTGTGTGATTGATTAAATAAATTACAAACATTATGTCTACTTATTTTTTATGGAAAGTACTTGGGAAATAAAAGTGATTCTCACTGTTACAGTGCATTTCTTGCCTTATTCAATTGTAATATATGCAAAATATTTGTGCATATGAAAGGATTATGATAAAAATAAGCAAACATAATGTTTGTAATTTATTCAATGAGACATGCCTAAAAGAGAATTTGCTGCCTAAATACACAAATATATAATCAATTCACACCAATACACCAAGTGAAGAATAAATGTCACTAAGTTGCTGGAGGCTAGTGAAAGAGAAGAAAAAAGATTTTAGAAAGAACCAAAAACTCAATCCTAAACAGGAAACAAGAGATAAACCTCGAATTCTGTTCAAAAGACCACGTAGGAGTGTGAATCTGACAATAGGTGAACCTATCTATTCCTACTATGCAAACTCTTTCCTGGTTTCTTGCTTGCTTTTCTATACAATTTTCACAAATTCAAATACAACAGACACATTATTTTGTAAATTCTTGCAAAAGTCAAATAATTATCAGATTTTAATAAATGAATGAAATTATTTTTGAAATTTTTTTTATTAGAAAACCTTGCTAAAAATATTCCTTTTTTATTTGTTCAGCCCCTTACCTAATTTTATAAGAAATTCAATGTGATAATTTTTAGTGTCTATATTAGTTAAAAGCAGAATTCTTTGAAGAATTTAAATCACCAATTTTTTTTTTGCAAAATCAGACTCAGTCTTACCAAAAATCTGTTCTGAATTTAAAATTAAACACAATAAAACTAAAGCATTGTTTAATTAGAGAGGCTTTTAATTCCTTTTGTATTGTCTGAAGAAAAAAAAATTTTTTCAATAAAAAATGAATTTTTCAAGATTTGTTTTCATTTTTTTACAATTTTAAATTGAATAATTTATAAATATTTTAAATCTTTTAAAATTCATTTTCAATGTTATAATTCTAAGGAAATATTGTTATTAAGTAAAACTATATTTACTAATTAATCTGTTGACCCAAAATATTTAAAAGAAAATTTTGATTTGTTTTTGTATGTGTGATTATGTGCAGAATTTCTGAAATATGGATGTACAAACCAATAAACGTATCATTAAAATGTCACTTGTTTTAAGCATTGCCCCCACCCCATGAGAGTGAAAAAAAAAAAACTTTATTGTCTGCTCCACTATACTTAACTATGAACATATTTAGCTGTCAATCTACTGTCAATAAATTGATTCAGAAAACTAAAACCAAATAGTTAAGAAATGTTTGTATACAACATTTTAAGCTATAAATAAGTGATCTTTGTTTCACATCAGATTAATTTAACTTTACATTTTCTAATTTTCCTCAAATAATGTTTCAGAAATACATATTTTATTTTTGCGAGATTTTTAAAACCAAGAATTAATTTCTGTTTAGATATGTGTCAAAAATGTCTGTTTTGAGCAATTTTACTGAAAAAAAATTGATTCCAATCAATATAATTACTGTTTGAAATACAACACAGAATATTTTGATTACTGGAAATAGTAAATTTTAAATCTTTTAGCTTTCAATTAAAGCTAAAATGAAAGCTTCAAGAAAACTTTTTATTTTCAAAAATTAATTTTAAATCATATATATACCAAATTAGTGGAGGTACCTACTTATAAATATAGCGACACATGAATATCTTGTCTGTCTGTGAAGGTGTTTTGTAGGCCTTCCCCAGATCAAGGGAGAATTGGCCATTACCTGACCACTGTGTGTTGGTGCTTGGGTAATCATGTCTCCTTTTGTTTCATGATTGACCAAGTGTATTTGCTCATAAGTGAATCTCTCTCTCTTCTTGTCTAGTAATGGCATTCACCTGGGGTGGGTTAAAGCTGGCTCCAATATTGGAGTTTCATGGGAATTTGGAATTCACAAACTGTCTCCAAACCCGCATGGATAGTCTTCAGATCAGTTCCCAGGAAACCAGACAGCCCGACAACAGCACATGAGATTTTGATTATAGTGATTTTGATTATAGTGGTGAAGGCCTCGTGCAGGAACATCCACACTTTTTGAAGGGCCGATGACAGAAACCTGGTGCACTACCTGCCACAAGGTCCACAAACGATCCTCCGCAGGTTTTGAATTCAGAATTTTCCTTCTCCTAGACCAGTTGCCATCCAAGGCTATAGAACCCAGTCTGTCTTGCTATTTACCCATAGCTGGAGGGAGAGGAAGAGGATTCACACCTTTCCTAAGGGTATTAGCACGTAAGTGAATGTAATGGATTCGACTGGAATTTGAACTCGGCTCTCCGATTCCCCAATCCAAGCTGCTATCCATTACTCCACCGTGCCTCCTCCCATAAGTGAATGTAACAAACTCGACTGGAATTTGAACTCAGTTCTTAAATTTCACATTTTGAGCTATCATCCATTACACCAACTGAACATTGTACATCCAAGCTTACAGCAAATGGTATTTCTAAGTGGTCACCCAGCTAGGTACTGATCAGGTTCGATGTTGCTTAACTTTGATGATCAGATGAGAACTAGTCTTTCAATGTGATATGACTGTAAGCCTATCTGTGCATATGGACCTGTAATTTAAAACTTCTGAAATTCCCAAGTCATTTTATAAGAAATTTTGGCTTTACAGCCTTATAAGTCATGTTGCATTAGAAAAAGACATATTTTTCATTTGGGCTGTTTGACCTATGCTCATATGTTCTGCTAACACTGTCATAGTTATATGCAGATCTCAATACGTAGAAGTCGTTTTGTCTGTCAAGAGCAGCTCCCAAAAATCAATAATCAGAAACAAACACTTTCTCCTTTTCAGAATTTCTTCTCTATATTCATTCTTTTCTGTCTTTCTCTCTATTTCTCTCTCTCTTTCTTTCTTTCTTTCATTTTAAACTTTTTTTCACTTTCCTTTTTCTTTTCCTTCTCTCTTTCATCATGTCTATTTCTTCTCTCTTCCCCCCCTCTGTCATTCCATGTATTTTCCTTTTCTTTTTTCTTCACTTTTTCCATGTTTTTTCCTTCTCTTCCATCTCTCTTTCAGTCTCTATTCCTTCTCTTCCTTTCTCTCTTTCCATCTCTTTTTCATCGCTTCCTCTCTTATCTCTCTCTCTTTCTATTTCTTTTTCTATCTATTTACTCTCTTTCTTTCCAACTATCTCTCTTTTTCAACCACTCTCTTATATATATATATATTTTTTTTTCTTGATCTTGCTAATTTGTCACTTTGTTGTCTTCACATTTTTTGTCCATTCCTTTAAGACTTTAGGTTTTCTTTCTTTCTTTCTTTCTTTCTTTCTTTCTTTCTTTCTTTCTTTCTTTCTTTCTTTCACTTTACAATATTTCTGGTTTAATGATTCTTTCCCTCTTTCATTGCTCTCTCTTTCTCAAATATCATTATCAAATCTTTATTTTTTTCTTCATTATTTCTAACTCATTTTGGACATATTTCTTTCTTTTCTTGACAGGTTTTTCTTCCTTCCACACTTATCTTTCTCTCTCTTCTTCTCCATTTGATTTGAATTTAACTTTTCTCTTTCTTTTCTATACAATTCTTACCTTTCATCATCTCTCTCTTTTTTTCTCTTTCTTTCCTCTCACTTTGACACTAATTTTCCTCCTCTATTTGTATGTAAGCCTTTCTCTGGAACTTTTACCTTTCTCTCTCTCTCACTGAACCACCACCTTTATCTTCTTCTCTGTTTTATTAATTGTCTATCTTTACCTCTTTCTCACCACTCTTTCTCATTCCTTATATATTTCCTTCTCTTTCTTTCTCTCTTTTTGCAGAATTTATCTTCAAACTGATGTCCTTCAGGTTCCTTTTGTCCACTTGTCTGAGGAACAAAGATGGATCCAGCTGAGATGCTCAAAGGAAAAACCTCCAAGAATGTCAGACCCATGGGCAGTAGAAGATGTAGCACATTGGTGATGTCAGGGTAGGGAGACCAGGTTTTGAAATGGGTGTGAATCTCAGCAGTTGTTGACAGGAAGAAGGGAAGTGGAGAAAATCAGTTGAACTGAAAAAGAGAAAAAGAGCCTCACCCTCTACACACACACACACACACACACACAATCACTGATATGGCCATATACACACACAGAGAAGCTTACATTCACAAACTATACATATTATTTTTCCTTTTTGTCCAGCTCTCTTCAGGATGTGAGTAATCATGACTCTCCACAACTTCCTTTGTAGTTCTTAGCAATGTTTGTCTTTTTGCTATCTCTTCTAATCCCTGATCTGTCAAACATTTTCACAAGATTGTTATTCACTATTTTCCTCTGTTCCTCATGACTTCAATATGCTTTGGTAGTGTCAAATTTTGTAAGCCCTCTTTCGTCATCATGAGCCCTAGAACTTTCAACTGCTTTGGATGGGTTTCTGGGGCCAAGATTCAGCATCTTGTATATACACAGGAATACATGAGCACACACACACACACACAAATAATGGATAGCAGCTCAGATTGAGGAAGTGGAGAGCTGGGTTCGAATTCCAGTCAAATCCATTACATTCACTTATGTGCTAATACCCTTGACAAAGGTATGAATCCTCTCCCCCCCCCCTGCTATAGGTAAATAGCAGGACAGATTGGGTTCTATAGCCTTGGATGGCAACTGGTCTACCGCAGAAAGAAATGGCATCCTACTGCAGGAAAAAAATCTGCCTTGTCAGTCATGTATCGAACGATACATGATCACCTAAGCATGTATCATGCATGGCACATAACTGACTAACTGAGAATTAAGTTAAGAAAAAAATAAATCATATACAGTGGGAAAATAAGTATTCAATGCATGTGACAAAAATCAGCTTATTGTATGTATGTATGTAAGTTGTAGCCTCTGTCTATTTGTTTGTTTGTTACTGAAACTCTCGATGGGTTTTGGAAATAGACTCCTATAACCACATATATTCTGAAACTACATTACCTTGGATATTTGGATAAGTATATTTCATTTTGATCTACAGAGTCACCAGGAGGCACAAGCCCTGCACTGAAAATGGTTTTCTCTTTGATTTAAATTAAATTTCAATTTGAACAAGGGAATGACTCCTATCCAAAATACAGAAAGAGAGAGCCAGAAGATGGAGGTCACATTGGCAAGATCAAAATGAGACAATATGGACATCAGGTTGAGCAAGAAATCACCAATCAGTGCATCATGCCTTACAATATATATTTGTTACGACCATTCAACTGTCATATTAATGTTGAAATCCTCTCATCAATTCATTTAATCAAGTATTGCATCAAATACATATCAATCTGTAGTTGCACAAACTCCCCCTGAAAACTTTTTCTGTTTGAATTAAATCAAATTTGAATTTGAACAAGGGAATGACTCCTATACAAGATATAGGAGAAAGCCAGAAGATGGAGGTCACATCAGCAAGATTATTGAGTAATATTAAAATGTCTAATTTTTCTCCACAAATTGTAACAATGATTTAAAATCAATCATCATTTTCTTACAAAAAAATGTGTGACAAGTAGCAAGGCAGGGGGTAAATCAGCTAATATATATATATATATATATATATATATATATATATGATAAAATATAGTTTTAAGGTATGCTATATTTATGGGTTAAAGTGCTCAATATCAAGGATAGAGTCTATCAAAGAAATTTAATACATTGTCGACATGGAAAACAAAAACAGTCTTAGTCCAAAAAAAGAGAAAAAGTTACTAATATCCAAAAAGAGGCTTACACATGAACGTCTTTTTAAAATTTTTGAATTTCATGTAACTACACAACATTTCACTTTTGCTTATCATCAGTTGCCTTGATAAAGTCATATGATGAAAACAGTAGTATTAAAAATACACAAATAAAAGTAGTATTAAAAATACACAAATAAAAGTAGTATTAAAAATACACAAATAAAAGTAGTATTAAAAATACACAAATAAAACATATAGAGCTTTTAAGTTTAGAAAATTAGGAAATCAACTGATTCCACTACTTTGGTTTCAACATTTTGGTATATCAAAAGGTTGAAACCAAGGTAGCATAATCGGCTGTTTTCCTATTTTTCTATACTATATATATATATATATATATATAGAGAGAGAGAGAGAGAGAGAAATTAAGCATTTAATGCACACCACAAATTTACCTTTTTTATCATCTCACACCAACCAAGGTGATAAAGACACAAGGGTTTACAGTGTATTAGAGAATATGTGAAAAAAAAACAGTATTAATTTTTTCTTGAGAACAATAAATAAAGAAATTAACAAGATGACGATTGACATTGCATTTGAATTCTTAAAGATCAAATTTCACTGGGAGGCATGAAGCCAAAAGAGAATTCCAAAAGCAAGGAATGTAATAGAAGAAACTGTTAGCATTGAACTTAGCATTACATCTAGCCATTTCAGCTGTAAAATGATAAAACCTTGCCAGTCTGGTACTGCACTTAAATTCATAATGTCTAGACCTATATGCACATTAAGTATTTACACGGTAATTACACCACATATGTTGCATCTTTACAGTTGTAAATATGAGAAAAGGCTTTAAGAGATAAATCTCTATAAAATTCTAAAAGATATATTTAAAAAAGAAAGAAGTATTCAGTACTTGAGAAAAAGCAGAATCAAACAGAGCCTAATGCTTCAGAGTAACTTTTGTTTGCATTGATAACCTCCAGTCACTTTATCTAAGTAGACTTTAGTTTCAGACATTCTAATACTTGTATGTATTTACCTTAAAATTAGACTGCATGGAGATTTCATCTTTTCAGTAGAAAATAGGAAACAAAGATGTCTACAAATACATTATAAAAGATATATTTAAAAAAAGATACAGCAAAAATATATCCAATATTCATTCATCAAATGTTTAAACGTGAGGTGATCAATTCTTAACTGTTGATTAATCTATAACTTTTTAAGTAGTAAGTAATATTCTGCCCAGGAAGTATTTGAACAGACAAAGGAAAATGCAACACCAAAATGTGAACACACATTGGTCTAGTGAAAGATGCATTCCAAAAATTCAGCACATTGCTGAGAAACAAATTTCATTAGAAAGAAAGAAAAGAGTTCTAGATTGCTATGTGATATCTAATATATGGCATAGAAGGCTGGGCAATCTCCTTGTTAAGATGAAGAGGACTGGAGCCAACAGAAATATGGTTCTACCAAAGGATTCTGAGAATTTCATGTGTGCAGTAAATAAGCAATGTGAAAGTTTTAAAGAAAATGGCAACAAAAAGAACACTTACACTCAGAAACAGGAAGAGATAGACTATTTACATTGCTCAGACTATCATCCTCATCTTTGTTGCTATATTTATCACAATATTTTGGCTGTTGTATGCTCCGGCCTTTTTCAGGTGATTGGAATGTCAAACTGAACCTTTTATTTTGCTTGCTGGGATAGACTGTTCCTCAAAGACACATGGCACAGTGGATAAAGGTGTTAGATCCAGTGACACACCTTAAAGAGCGTGAGTTCAGTTTTTGTTCAAAACATCTTGGAGAACTTGGAGAGGGGAATTAAAGGAGATAACTGGTAACTGACAAGTCAATATTTTAACAATATGGAACTAAAACAGTCTACCCCAGTGAGCGAAATAAAGGGTTCAGTTCGACATTCCAACCACCTGAAGAAGGCCAGAGTGTACAATGACTAAAACGTTGTGATAAATATGGCAACAAAGATGAGGATGATAGTCCAAGCAATGTAAATAGTGTACATAATACCTCATCTCAGAAATATAGACAGATACTGAAGGAGGAGATAGCTGTAATTTATTGGGCACATAATGAGGAAGGAGAGCTTGAAAAACTTAACCCTCACAGGGCATATTGAGGGCAAGGGAGATAGGGGAATAAGGTGAACCCCCTACCTGATGAGCATGTGTGAATGGATGTTAGAATGGTGGGTGGGAGCCTTAGCAAAGAGAGAAAAACTAGTAAGGGCCACAAGGATAGGAAGTTTTGGAGAGCCATGACTGCCTATGTCCTGTATGTTCTTATGATGAATTATGTGGTGCATTAGGTGACTTTTATCATAGTCGCAACCATAAAGCCAAAAGCTAAGGAACAGTTTACAGACCTCAGAGAGCTTTTGATGGTCTTTATCTTCAAGGTAAAAGTTACTAGGCCATTGATAAAGAGCTCTATCTTCATCTGGGTACCACTGACAGTATGCAAGTGCAAGTAGAAGGAACATGGTTTGACAGTGAAAAATCCTCAATTTGGTGACCCTGAAAATACTTCCAGCTGTGCTACAAGCAGAATTGTAAGAATCATAATGAAGCAGCCATAGATTGCTTGCTCAGAGTTTGGTAAATCTCCAAGCATCAAAGACAGCAGTTGCACATCTACATGAACTGTGATTTTGTAAAGCAGGAAAAGTACCAGTTCCGTAGAAGTCATAGATGGAGGCACTTTTGGAATTTGCTAAAGAGCATTTATGGATGCCAGATACCAACTAGAATAATATTCTTTGGTCAAATAAGACATGGATAAATTTATTTAGATTCACTTCTCATGAACATTTTTTGAAGAAGCAGAAAAAAGAATTCAAACCAGTGAATATTGTCTCAGCTGTAAAGTACAGAGGTAGAATTGTGTTGTGCAGAAAAACTAACTAACCTTCGTTACAATATTATTGAAATATGAAATTCTCCATCTGCTATGAGTAGAA